CCCTAGAGTACTCACAGTCTGCTGGGGAAAAACAAACACACAGTTACAGTACATGCGGAGGTTTTGCACTGAGGGTGAACTCAGGAACAAGACCGTGAATTAAAGTTTACAGACACGACACCTGATTGTGGTGCCTTTTCTGACCAAGCCCATTCCTCTGAGAGCACTGCTTGGCTGTTTTATATCTTTCCCCAGCCACAGTGAGGCTGTTTTATATCTTTCCCCAGCCACAGTCGGTTCACCCAGAACTGAACAACTCTAGATGTTGACTAATTGAATGATACACACTCCACCCATGGGCACAAATAGACAGGGGCAGCAGATCAGTCTCTATCCCTGAGAAATAGGCACTTAGGAATTCCAAGAAGGCAGCACAGGTGTTAAACAGGAGGGGTGGTTATGGTGGTGAGCACCAATCCTGGCCATATTACCCCTTGGTTATTTGTGCTAAGTTCCATGTGCTTCCCAGGCGGTGATTAGGTTGTTCAAAGAAGCACAGGTTGTGGTTGGAGAGAGACGTGTGGAGCAGTGAGAGTTGGTAGCGGTCATGGTGCAGGGAGGGACAGAGTCTCCAGGAAAGAGACTGTCTTAGTTGCCCCTCTGTTGCTGTGATAAACACCGTGGTGGAAATCGGCTTGCCAAGGAAAGGGTTTATTTGACTTAGACATTCCATGTGCAGTCCCAAGGGAAGCAGGCAGGAATCCGGAGGCAGGAACGGAAGCAGAGACCTAGGAGGAACCCTGCTTATTGGCTTGCTCTGCCTGCTTTCTTAAACATCCCAGGACTGCCTGCCCAGGAGAGGCACCGCCCCATAGCAGAATGGGGCCCGGCCCTCCCACACCAATCATTAACCAAGAAGATACCCCCCCACACCTGCCTATCGGCCAGTTTGATAAAGATGTTCTCTCAGCTGAGGTTCCCTCCTCCTGGATGAAAACCCAGCCTGCACAGAGACTGTGAACGAGACAAGGACAAAAGCTGGTGACTACACACAGTGACTGCCTCACTTTGGGGGAGCTCTCCTTCCTGTTCCACTCAACATATACACCTCACAGCAAAACCTCTTTTTTCTCAGAGTCCAGAGACTCTGCATCGTTCTCCCAGGAGCACCCATCTTTCACCTGAAGCCCCAAGTTAGAACCCACTGGCCTGGGGTCGGCGTCGAGCGGGTTGAGGTCATTTCATGCAGTGACACTGTGCAGGGCGGCCTGATGGCGCTTTACAGATGGCAGGGATGTTTTTCTTTATTTCTTTACTCTGATCAGCCTGACTTTAGCAAGAAGCATGAGAACTACCAGCTGCTCCCCGCCTTCCCTCACACCCCTGGCATAGCACCGTCATGCTGTCCCTTGTCTGGGATTTGTTTTGTTGTATGCTTGTATTTTGACATGAACTTTTCGTGATACTCAGGCTAGACTTGAACTTGAGCTACTCCTGCCTCAGCCTCCTAAATGTTAGGGTATAGACCACCGTGCCTGGCTATTATTGCCCCATGTGTTATATGCTTGCTCTCTCTCTCGCTCACTTGCTCTCTTGTGCCGTTCTCTCTCTCTTTCTTTCTCTTCGGTGTTTTGAGACAAGGTTTCTCTGTCTCACTCTATAGACCAAACTTGCCTCGAACTCAGGGATCCTCCTGCCTCTGCCTCCCAAGAGGCAGAGGCGTATGCCACCACCACCAAGCCCTCTCTTTCTAGGCTGTGATTTTCCAGAGGGGAAGAGTCAGGCCTAATTAGTGACTGCTGAATGGTGTGTATTGTGAGTATCCAGCTACATGAATGTCAAAGTTCTTGTAGGATTTTTCCTAGTATTTCTAACTTCATTCCCGTAGAATGGCAATGACTTGTTTTATAAACAGAGAAACCCTCTTCCTTTGATAACCACTCCTTTTTAAGGAAAAAAAAAAAAAGACTCCTTGCACATTAGGCTAAATAAATCTAGGCATTTGGTGAGTAACCTAACTCACCCAGGATAAGAACCTCTCTGGCAGTGCCAGGAAGGGGCTGCCGTTACAGCCTGGCTAAGTGGTTCATTCCCAGGGCTTCCTCAGGACAAGTTTGGTGCCTCCCAGGAAACCCTGAGAAAGTTGGCTTCCAAAGAACTATGGCACACAGTGCGCACCCTCCATTCCTGGCCCAGGAGGCGCGAAGCCAGTGACAGTTTCCTGAGCGTCTATAGGCAAGCCCACCCAGGTGCCCGCTCTCAGCTCCTCCTCCTCCTCCTCCTCCTCCTCCTCCTCCTCCTCCTCTTATCTGCTCCTTCTCAGGGTCCTTAAGGAAGTTTCTGTTTTCATTTTCTTTGATTTGGGCCTCCATGCCTCTCCTATGTTGGCCATTCTTTCAAATGTCACATGACCCTTTATACATTTTTGGTGTGCTTTTTCTTTCTTTTTTTAAAGATTTGTTTGTTTGTGTGTATATGTGTGTGCCTGAGTGCATCCATGTGTGCCATGTGTGTTCAGGTACCTACTGAGACTAAAAGAGGCCATTGGATTCCCTGGAACCGGGTACCATGTGGGTGTTGGGAACCATACCCAGGTGTTCTGCAAGAGCAGCAGGTGTTCTTAACTGTTCAACTATCTTTCCAGTCCCATAGTGTGCTTTCATTTATTTATTCTTGTCTGTATTTTATTTTTGAGACAGGATGCTACTATGTGAACCTGGCTAGCTTAGAATTTGTTATGTAGACCAGCCTAGCCTCAGACTCACAGAGATCTGCCTGCCTCTGCCTCCCAAGCACTGGGATCAAAGGTGTGTGCTGCCATGCCTGGCCTTATTTGTTTATGTTTTTATTGAGTTTTGGTTGATTGGTTTTGTTTTTAGACAGGTAGGTTCCGCGCTACCTGAGCTGAATTCAGACTTGAAATCTTCCCAGCCCCACCTCCTTGAAGTGCAGCCTTCCTGCCTCCACCTCCTGAGTTCTGAGGCTAGAGACCTGAACCCTGTGCCCTGCTTCATCTTTGAGTTTTGCATAGTTTGGTACCTACCTGTGCTGGCTAAAATGTTCCCACCAGATCAAACTATGAACAAGCCTGTAGGCCATTTTCTTAATTACTGATGGATATGGGAGAGTCCAGTCCGCCATAGGTGGTGTCAGCCCTGGGCTTGTGATCCTGGGTAATAAAAGAAAGCTGAACAGGCCAGTAAATGACACTCCTCCGTGGTCTCTGCATCAGCTTCTGCCACCAGGTCCCTGACTCCTTCCATGAGGAACAGTGATGTGGAAGTGTAGCCCAAATAAATCCTTTCCTCCCCTCCAGTTGCTTTGGTCATGGTGTTTATCACAGCAGTGGAAACCCTAGCCAATCCAGGCACAGTGGCCCACACTGAGTGCCTGGTAGAAACCCTAACCTACCCAGGCGCAGTGGCCTACATCAGATACCTGGGAAGGACTGAACAGAGAAGTGAGAAATAGAAACGTGTTCTAGGCTGTGGCCGTTGCTTGGTGCAGGACATGTGTGCAAGGTCCCAAGTTCAATTTCTAGACCTAGATTAAAACCCTAGACCTAGATTAAATAAATAAAAAGTATTCCTATTTTGAAGAACTTGTTCCTAAGGGAACTGTAATATATTATGACATTAACCAAGGGACACTGAGGACATTGTTGTAACCTGAAGAACTCTCAGTCTTTTGTACTAAGGTTTTCTCTCCATATTGGGGGAGGCAGGGTTTGGGGGTGCTTAAGCTTGACGTGCCAGCATAGCAGTGTGTCTTAGTCAGGGTTACTGTTGCTGTGAGGAAACACTGTGACCAAAAGCAACTCGGTGAGGAAAGAGTTTATTTGGCTTACATATTCTGAATCCCAGTCCACCAAGGGAAGCCAAGGCAGGGACTCAAGCAGGGCAGAAACCTGGAGGCTGGAGCTGTTGCAGAGACTAGAGAGAGAAGCTGCTTCCTGGCTTGCTCCTCATGGCTCGCTCAGCCTGCCTGCTTATAGAACCCAGGACCACCAGCCCAGGATGGCACCACCCACAGTGGACTGGGCTCTCCCATATTAATCACAAAATGAAAAAATGCCCTGCAGCCAGGTGCACACGCCTTTAATCCCAGCACTCAAGAGGCAGAAACAGGTGGGTTTCTGAGTTTGAGGCCACCTAGGGCTTCACAGAGAAACCCTGCTTTGGAAAAGAAAAAGAAGAAAGCAAACGCCCTACAGGTCTGCCTGCAGCCTGATCTTATGGAGACATTTTTCTCGGTAGAGGGTCCCTCTTCTCAGGCGACTAGCTTGTGTCAAGTTCACATAAACCAGCCAGCACAGTGCGATTCCTAGGGAAAAACAGTCGCGCAGCCTGTCCTGGATCCACGCGTGGACACAGGTCCCGTCCTGCTTTGACTATGGGACCTCAGGCTGGCCTGGGCCTGAGGCAGATCACCCTGGCACTGTCCGGCTTCCAGACTCAGCTGCCTGGGAGTATCTCTGACCTGAAGGGAAGGCACAGGAACTCTGGGATTAGGTCTGAGTCCAGCCCTACCCCTTTGTTTGTGAGACCTTGACCCCTTTACCTAGGAACCTCCTCCTTGGATATAAAATGTGATCGTCAGTTATGAATAGTAAATGTGACTGTGACTTATAAACTACATTGTGCGCATCTCAGGGTCCAGACCAGCATTTCCAGACTGTTACACAAAGGCAGAAGGCACTTTTGAAATAAGGAAGTGTGCACCGTTTCTCTGATTTATTATCCTTGGACCCGGCTTCCTGGTTGGTAAAGCACGGGGCCTGGTGCCGGTTGCTTAGTTCAGGCCGGTTTCCTGTTATAATGGCAAATATTACCACCCGGCAGGGGTTGTGAATGAGGTCCCTGTCACAAAGCACATGGCCTTGTTCCTTAATTGCCAGGGTGGAATTAATTTGCTCTTCCTGTTTCTCTTGTGACAGGAAGTAGATGTCCTTGAATTTCAGTTGATTAATGGAGGCCCCAGAGCAGAGCTCGGCCAGCCTCCCTTGCTTCTAATCCTTATGCAACGCAAGGCCCTAATTTGATAATTTTGCTGTTTTTCAGATGGATCACCTACTGGTTGAAAATATTGAGCGGGAAACCTTTCATCTCTGCTCCCGGCTCATTAACGGGCCGTACCGGAGGACGGTGCGCGCTCTGGTCTTCACATTAAAGCACCGAGCTGAGATCCGGGAGCAGGTGAAGAGCGGGGCGCTGCCGGTCGGCACGTTTGTACAGACCCACAAAAAGTGACCCGACGATGGGCCCAGCGCTGGGCCTCGCGCCGCCACTCAAAGACTCTTTGAGTTTGGGTGATGCGGGTGTCGGCTGTGCTGGATATTCCCATGGTGCCATTCCTTCAGACAGAATGCGGGGAGCCCTGGGAGACAGGCCCGTGGGAGCGGCTTCATTAGCTGTCTTTCAGCCTGCCTGACTGGATGCACGCGGCTGTCACTAGGACGCGCCATCCAGTTGCCGTCACCCAACACAATGGAAGGGTGACAGGTTTCACTGTGAGCTTGCCAAGGACACCTCTAAACTCCCCCCATGGCAGGCAGATGAAGTTACCACTTTATTTCGCCACCCTGCAGGTAACTGAAACTCAATTACGGCTGCCGCTCACTCAGTTCCATCCCCCTGAGTTTAGACAGCTCCGGTGCCTCTCAGAACTCCCCTGTCTCTTCTCTTTGCTCAACCCCAGGGGTGAGCCCACTGGAGCCTGAGACCAGCCCTGCTTGCCAGCGCGCACTTATCTGAGCCTTTCAGCTCTCCCTGGAAGACCTTCGGGGATGGGCTCCTGAGCCCCCATGCTGCGGCTTCTAATGAGACGCTGGCCTGAAGCTTCCCGCACCTCAGGGTTCATTTGAATACAGGCTCTGCAGAAAATGCATAATGAAATTCCTCTCGCAGTGACTTACTGCCGTAGGGAAAGGTGCGCACGTGAAGATTTTCAATGAAATATGTCTCTACAAGCCTGCTTGGGTGGTCACGGAAAGTGTCCTCGCTCTTTAAAAGGTGATAATAAACGGATACACTAAAAACAAGTGTAGTTCCTTATTGCAGAGCACTTCAGGGCTGAGTGTGGTGGCTCTGCTTGTAATCCCAGCATTCAGGAGCCCGAGGCAGGGGGATCGCCATGAGTTTGAGGCCAGTTTAGGCTATGTAGAGAGTACCAAGCCAGCCACAGCTACATAGCAAGATTGTCTCAAAAACAAAATAAAAACTGGAAGAGGGTGAAAGAGGCGCTTGAAACAAAAAAAAAAAAAAAAAAAAAAAAAAAAAAAAAAAAAAAAAAAAAAAAGAAGAAGAAGAAGAAGAAGAGAGGGTGGGCAAAGCAAAGGTCATTCTGGGTGGGAGAGGGTAGTAAGTAATGGCACAGGCTGGGTGTGGCGGGCGCACGCCTTTATCCCAGCACTTAGGTAGCAGAGGCGGGTGTGTTTCTGTGAGCTCAGGCCAGTCTACTGAGTAAGTTCCAGAGCAGCGAGGGCTACATAGTGAGACCCTGTCTCCAAACACACACAAACATGTATATACACACACATACACATACGCAGACTCTGAGGGAGGTAGCAGGACCCCAGGGAGGCTGTACACTAAAGTGTGTGGAAGCACATTTTCAGGATGAAGGAAAGGGGTGGAGGAAGGGAGCCATGAATGCTCAGAGGAAAGGGGGGTGGGCGGAAGGCAGGGGCCGATGGCATCTGCCTCGCAAGTGTTGCTCGGTCCAAGAGGATTGATGGGGTCTTGTAGTTCTTCAGTCCTATGATTTCTCTTGTTTTCTTAGTGGTCCAGACTTAGTCACATGTGATACCCGTTTCCTAAGCACTAAGCCACTACTAGTAGATGCCCAGCACTGGCTACAGGTGAGACCTGGGCTCACTCACACAGCGGAAACGTCTTGTTCCGTTTCCCCATCACCGGTGACTACTGATTCTAGTTAATAGCCGAGCACCTACCATGTGCCCAGAGCTCCGGCAACATTTTCCAAAAAGAAAATCCCCAACCAAAGGTGAGGAAAGCAAATCTCGGAGAGGTGCACCGACTTCCTCGGGGTCACAGGTAGGGATGACTGTTCTGAGCCAGAAGCCACACCTGATGGCCTGCGTGTCTTGATTGTCAGTTTCAAGCATCACCGCTCTGCTGGTGGCATTCCCAGATCGTATCTTCAGCCACTTGCTGTGTAGACCAGGCTCTCCATGAACTGTTCCCCAGGTTTCAGATACCTCCTCAGTGCCCCCAGGAACATGTATGGTATAACATGCCTTCTCTCAGTTGGCATTGTGGCAAGCCACTCACCCCAGCTACAAACCTGGGGACCAGCCTGCCGCACAGTTCCCTCCTGCAGTCCTGACGGTTTTGCTGATGAATATATTTAGACTCCTCTGTCTCCGTAACTAGTTCCTCGGGATTTTCTCCTCTTTTTGCCCAGATGACTAAATAGCCTCCTGTCTTGCCCTCTCAAGATTTGCCTCTCTACAGTAAATAAACTCATATATCAAAGTTGGGAACCCCAGCATCCGCCCCCCAGCAAAGCCCATCAGGATCTCTGTCACCTGCAGGGTAAACCCCAAGCATCTCGGTGCTGCTGGCAGGGCTGGCTTTGGTCCTCTCTTGAGCTCCTCTGCTCCATCCTCCCACATCGGGCTGGAGACTGCTGGTCTTCTCCCTGCCAGGTTTCTTGAAGCAGCTGAGGTCCTCACAGGCTCTTTGCCCTTCTGGAATGCTCCTCTGCCTGGCTCCATGCCTGGCCCCTATCCCATGTTCTGTTCTAGACTAGGCATGGGTTCTGTGGTTGAGCTTATGATTCTGTCTCCCCCTGCACTGAGTCTTCCTTGCTGCTAGAAATCCTGTTTTACCGGGTGGCTTCAGTGTCTGGAATAAGACTCGTCCACAGTCTGGCCAGTCAATATTTGTGGGCTAGATGTAAGGTCATACGTCTGCCCTTTCTGGTCCCCTGCAGTCTGTTATCCCCGGGAGCTGGGATGGGATAAAGGTGTAAAGCAAAGCATCTCCCTCCTGTGCTGAAACCCAGAGGCTTCCATTTTGTTTGCTGTAAAATTCTAACCCTCTTCCGTGTGTTACAGGGCCTTGCTCCTGGATGACTCTTTGACCTCCTTCCCCACATTCCCTTTCTCGGGCTCCATTGGCCTGAACAACAAACAAGCGCTTACCGTGTCCCCATTCCCATGGCCTCAGTCCCACTTTCTACACACATATCCCAAGTCTGTCTCTGTCCCAGGGCCTTTGCACTTACAGTTCTAACCATCAGTGTTCCTACCCTAATGGACTCAAGTCTCCACATCCCTTTAGGAAATGCCTTCACTGGTGCCCGTAAGTACAATTCCTCTTTCCTTCAAACATTTTGTAATACTTTAGCCTGCTGAGTCTCCAACACCCGGAACAGAGCCTGCTGCAAGCCAGGCGCCCATAGCTGTCGGTTGTATAGTTGAATGACTGGCTGTGGCCGTACAGGGGCAGCGTCTGATCAAATCAGGGAATACTTCCTGGAGGAAGGGATACCTGCACGGGACTCTAAGGGACAGAGTCATTCACTGGGGAATTGAGGTGCGTACCCTGCAGAGAAAGCCAAGTATGGAAGGCCCCAGTTGTAAAAGCGACTGGTGAGTGGCAGGTATCTAACTAACCTGGAGACGAGATGCTAGGTAGAAAGAGGCAAGGGCCATGCTAAAGCATTTGAATCTGTCGTGGCGGTGACTGGCTCAATGGAGAAGTGGGGAAGGAGAAGCTGGAGGCCTTATTTATAAACAACCAAGAGTTCTAACTTGGGAGCCAGAGTGAGTTGAGAACATACTGCCTTCTGCCTGAAAGGCTTCAGCGGTGATAGCCGGAGAGTAAGATGGTTTTAGAGATGTACCTCAGAGGTTGGGGAAGCAGCTGTGCTGTTGGTGGCTGTTCTCTTCTTGAGGCATGAGCAGAATTTTCATGGACGCTAATGGAGCTGCTACGATGAGCCTATGGAAGGGAGGAGGCTGCAGCCAGCTCGGGCCTGGTGGCTCACCCCCCCCCCCCCCCCCCCCCCGCCTGCTGAGAGGCACTTGTGGGGCCTCCAGATGGTTAAAAAATGAAAGGGTTGTTCCTGGGATGGACAGGGAGTTCCTAGCCCTCTGAGTTACCTGTGAGCCAGGTGCTCTCTGTCTAAATACACGTGTTCAGTCGCTGGAGGAGCCATACCTTTTAGGATCCGCTCCAGAGGCGTATTGATCCTTTCCCAGTGGTTAAATCAAAGTTTCAAGTCCTGGTCCTTTGGGTAGGGACCAAGTCTCCTTATTTTCATTCATACCGTCAACAAACAAATGTGTGTCCTCTGTAAGCCAAGGACTAGAGTGGCACCGGGGATACAGCTTTGAATGAAATGTAATTTCCACTTGAGGGGCTCTTAGTCCAGTGAGGACACCTAAGTCAATAGTTAGAATGTGGCATCCCAGGTGTTTACTGTCGACATTTGTTTGCAATGTTGAGGAGGTGGGAAAGGGAGTGATTAGCTACTCAGAGGAGGAAGTTGTCCTGGAAGAGTTCATCTCTGCAGCAAGGCTGGAAGGAGTCTTGGCAGAGTGCAAAAGCCCATCAGGCAGCGGGAAGAGACGAAGGCACGGGCCCCATCGGGTTCATGGAAAACTAGGCAAAAACACCTCTGTGTCCTCAGGTGTGGGGGCCTTGAGAGAGTTTTAAGGAGTTAAGATAAAATGGCTCTTATAGAAATAAATAAAGAGAAACAAGCTTTGTAAAGCACTCAACAATTTAAGACCTAGAGAGGAAAAAAACTTCAGATTCAGTAAATTGGAGATTTTTTCTTTTGACAAATGAAGTTTAGAGTTGCCCAAACAGATATCATTAGGAGTTCCCAGTCTGAAAAATAACAGAAGGCCCGGATAACTCATTTACCGAGTTCAGTGGTGACGGGACAGGCAGCTGGCCTTTTTTCATTTATAGAATATCAGGCTCTTTAACTGGGAGCTGTCAACCTCGGTTTTCTTCTGCGGCTGCCTCGGGCCTCCAAGCTTCACTCTGAGATGGGCAATGTGTTTCTGATGCATTTACTGCAGTCACGTGGGACGAGGGCTCAGTCTGTTTCTGCTCGTTATTGCCATCAGAAAACATCAGTCCATCCAGGAGAACAAGGCTGAGGAGCCTCCACTGGGGCGGGGGCCACAGCCTTGGTTTCAGAGGAGAGCTAGTTTGATTGGATGACATGGTGTTTCCTTATAAATTCCCCCAGACGATGTAGTTGCTGTCAGGGTTGGACTTATCCGCAGGCTGGATAGGTTGGTCTCCAGATCCAAGAAGACCGTGATGTCCAAGCAATGCTGTTTTCCCATCTTGTCAAAAATTTGATGCATCAACCATTTGATGCATGGCTGCTGAGGTCGTATACGCCAGATGCAGAGGTCATGGGATAAATATGACAGTCTCTAGTCTCGAGCTCGGGCTCTGATGGAGAAGATAGACGATAAGCAGACCTTCTTTTAAAAGATGTTTAAATCACACTGATTTGGGGTGTAAGTGGGGTGTAGGTGACATGCAGGTGGGTGTAGGTGGGGTATAGGTAGATGTAGGTGAGGTGTAGGTGGGGTATATTTGGATGTAGATGGATGCAGTTGGGGTATAGGCAGGTGCAGGTGGGGTGTAGATGAGGTGTAGGTAGATGTAGGTGGGTGCAGGTGGGTGCAGGTAGGTGTAGGTGTATGCAGGTGGGGTATAGGCAGGTGGGGTGTAGGTAGATGTAGGTGGGGTGTAGTTGGATGTATGTGGGTGCAGGTGGGGTGTAGGTGGATGTAGGTGGGGTGTAGTTGGATTACGTGGGTGCAGGTGGGGTATAGGTGGATGTAGGTGAGGTGTAGTTGGATGTAGGTAGCTGCAGGTGGGGTATAGGTGGGTGCAGGTGGGATGTAGGTGAGGTGTAGGTGGGTGCAGGTGGGTGTAGGTATATGCAGGTGGGGTATAGGCAGGTGCAGGTGGGGTGTAGGTGTGCATGCTGTGGTCTGTGTGTGGAGGCCAGAGGATAACCTGAAAGAGTCGGTTCTCTCCTACTGTA